TAGAACTTGCAGAAGTACAAGGGTATCCGATGCATGGTGAATTCACCCTATACCATGATCATAAGAGAAAAAATAAGATTTTAACTGAAATACAAATGTTGATATAGTCATAAACATAAATAAGATATTTATAAGGCATTACTTATTTTTGTGCTCACCTGGACTAGCCTCTGTTCCGCAGATCCTAAAATTGTGAAACAAAACAAGCAACGCCCATGTTTTCATGTTTCTTGCTCCGTCCACTTTTACACGAAATGGAGAATTCGTTCTGTGGGTCTGTGTCATGGAAACCTTTTTCAAAAATATATAACCGTTTATTTGTTGTCTATATAATCTCTGAACATTCTGTTTGCAATACTTGTATATAACCTTCTATGATTGGAATTTGATCTTTTGGCCTTAATATTCAGTATTTTTTTTTTTAAAAAATTATATTGAGTAAAGATATAAAATTCCATTGCAAAATTTTAAAGAGAAATAGAGTAATCACCAGGAGAATATTTCATGCAAGATATGAATTTATCATCCTTGTCTTTTGCATAAAACTCAATAGAGGTCTTTGGAAAAAAAAATATTGAAGTTATCATCTGAAAATATATTTTTCGCACTGTTCAAATTTGCGACCTATGACCTTCAAATTTTAAAAACAAAAGATTTGGGTCATGAAGTATAACTGCATAGAAAAACTCAAAGAGAAATTCAATTATTTTCTGGAAACCCATTTTTGAAACACATGACATTTTTGAACCACATAAATTTCTGACTTAACCTTTGAGCTTTTGAGATCAAAATCAATAGGGTCTCTTTCAGGCCAAAGGGAGTTGTGATATATTTATATGAGATCAATCACCTTTTACATTGGAAAGTCTCAGAGGCATTTTACGAAATCATACGGATTTATAAATATAGTACCTTAGCCTTCGATCTTCTATCCTGGAAATCTTATGATAAATCTTATTTTTTAAAACAAACCTAAAAAAATATTACTTTTTCGATGAAAACTGTTATATGAAGTAAATATAGGATATTCAATGTTTTGTTGTTGAATATAAAATTAATTACACGATGTGGACAGGATTTTTTTTTTATTTCATGAGTTTGAGGCACAAGTGAAAATATCAAAAAATCCTGTCTCACGAGTGAATTAAATTTAATATTCAACGACAAAACATTGAATATTCTATTTATTACATTTTCTTTGATTTTTCCTTTGCCCACGTTTCTTTTGAAATTCAGTTTTAGAATACAGGACGTCGTAGTTGAGCGTTTGAGACGTTATATAGCTATGTATAGCTGAGTGCGAAACATTAAACATGAATTACAGCGACGCATTCGGGGAATGTCCGTAGTCTTTATCTCTGGCAGAATGGTTAATAATCTCGTGTTCTATCTTATAACAGACCAAGCAATATTTTTAGAACACTCATTGTTATTGGGAGAGAAATCAGGAAATTCATTTTCATATGTCCATAAGACTCTCTAAGCTATGAAAATGTAACACACAGCTAGAACCTATATTTATTTCACGATGATCTTAAACCTTTATTTTTGCACCTAAAAATCAGTATGGGTGTTCTTGTAGAACACAAGTAGTACATTTCACTCACTGTCTTTTTAGGCTATTGTCCGAAATCTTATGAATTTCAATCAGTCAAAATTACAGACAGACAAACGGACGGAAGATTGAAATATCCTCAATTTTAGTGAAACTGGGGGATAAAGGGGTTTATTTTCTATAAATCAAATGGGGATAATAAACAGTACTTAAGATTAAAAGTTCATAAAAGAATACAAAATAGGAGCAGAGCAATTATGGACCTCCAAAAGGTAGGATCAGGTGCCATGGAGGAGTGATCATCCCCTGCAGATCAGTCACACCTGCTCCTTGTCATGATCGGGAAATAACTGAAAATCAGTCGTCAATTCAGTGTATAGACAATAAACTAACAATTAGAATGAAAAAAAGTCAGTAAGCATTTGACGATAAATTAAATTTGCACAAGGTAATTGTATCGATCAAAGCACTAACGAAATAATGACTTTTCTGAAGGTCTTTAAAACAAAATATTTCAATTATAATGCATTTGTTTTTTTTGTTTTTTTATTTTAATGCATGAAAAACATGTTTCGAAAAAGTAATATTAAAGTTTTAACCGATAAACATGTATTTAAAATTTGTTATTTCCTCTAGAAGCAAACTGTATCATGTATGTTTAAAATACTTACTAGTATCTAAATCTCTGACACTATCACTCATCCTTTCAAGTTCTTTGGTCCATACAATGACCGTGTCAGCAAATAGAATAAACCATTGGTTTAATTGCTGACTGGCGGTTTTTTTACGAGTTTGTAGGTCCTTATTTATACACTGAGTTTTCGACGAATTTTTCCGTTATTTCCTGATCCTGACAAGGATCATCGAGCAGACAACGGATGTGACCGGTCGGCAGTGGATGCCTACTACACATTTGTACCTGATCCCACCTGATATTTTGGAGGTCCGGTGTTTGCTCTGCTCCTTTTTCTTCTGTTTAAAGGACTTTTAATTCATTTTATTATTATCTTAATATATTTCTTTTCAGAAAACTCAGTTAACATAGGAACGCTACACTATATATGTCCAATCTGTCTATCTAAAACCGTATACACCTGGGGCGCGTTTTACAAAAGAACTTACGACTAAGACCAAAAACTTAAGATTATTGTAAAATTTTGAAAAATTAATAATTCTGTTTGAAATTGTCTGTGTAAAAATATCTTACCACATTCTTTTTAAAAGGTTTAAAATAATTTTTGATATAATGTTAATTAAAAAGTTATATGAAAAATTAAACTTGGTCTTAAGTCGTAAATCCTTTTGTAAAACGGGCCCCTGCCTCTTTGAGAATAATGCATAGCTTATAAATTGGTTGAATCGAAATTGTTTTCAAAGATTACGTAATCCAAATCAACATAATTTAAAGATAGTTTGAATTGAAAGTAGATCAAGCCAATAAAAAAAATCTGCATATTTAGTAAATTCCTATTAAGACAAAAATTGACTGGAATTCTAGAATTAAAAAAAAAATTAAATTTCTAATAGGATAAAAAAGTTCCTCTATTAAAAAATCCTTCCACAAAAGAAATTATTCCTCTTCCTTACTATATTTGATTTTGATCTAATGAATTTCTTTCACAAGGTATGATAAAATCATCATTTTCATTTATGTTCTAATATTCCCTCATTATTTTCATTTGGCGTTTATATCACCCAGCTAATTTGATAGGCAAGTTCATACCTTGTGTAAAATAATTCTTTTTATATTTAGGCAAGTTACTGAAAAATAAATTGATTAAAACAATCCTTTTTACAGTCAGAATTATATAAATTTTAAGGTCGTTAAAATGACCTCGATATAATGTGTTAATACAACTAGTCGTCTGAATTTGTTGATAACATTATATCATAGCTTCTAAACTAAATATAGACATACAGAGTCTTCCTAGGCACCTAATTCTACATCTGGTGTTTAGAGGGATCTGTGTTTTACCATGTTGAAGGCACCTGATCCCACATCTGGTGTTTCGAGGAATGCTTGTTTAAGATTTATTTAAGAGATTTATCAGTGTTCGCAATCTTCATATTTCACATCTGATTTATACATGTAATGATATTCTATGTTAATGGAACTTGAAATCCTCGACAAATGGCCATCGTGCAATATCTGGGAGAACAAGCAATTGTCCCACGCTTACGGAAAAAATAATCTAGAGGCGGGTGTGTAATTTTATCTTTAATCTTTAAGTTTAAAGATAAAGTATCATTGCAAAAGCTCAAAAGTTTCTTGACATGCTCGTAAATAAAAGTTTTACACACTAGCAGATTGTGTAAATTTGTGACCTTGACCTTTACATTTTACTATTTGACCTCAAATGCAAATTTCGTCGCAAAGCTTGAATTCTTCTTTAGATATTGCTCGACAGATAAAGTTTTAAAACAGACAACTTTTATAAATTTATGACAATGGCATTTGACCTTTCACTTGGAAACCAACTGGGGTTTTTTAGGATATAGTTAGCTTTCTTTTTACATTTTATTGCACAGGTTCAAAAGCTTTTCGAGATATATTGTAGAAACGAATATGTTCCAGAAAAACAGATGACAGACGGTCAGACGGACCAAAATTAATATCTATCCCCCACATTCAGTGAAAGCAGTGATATGTTTTACCTACAAAAGCTTATCATTTTTATCCAAAGAAAATTATTTGTTATGCATTTTTTAAGCAAAATTTATTTAAAAAAAACAAAAAAAAAAAGCAAAAGCAAGAATAATCGTGAATAATATATTTTGTAAACTCACCCAAAGGGAATGATTTTCTCTGTCATATAAAAAGAAACCTATTTTTTCTCGTATCTAAATTCCGGTTGTTTTCCGTATTTAGGTTAATGTTTGAGTTCACAGAAAGTTTTTCTTAATGCAGCCTAAAAACTAGGTTTAACGTATGATATTAAAGTCAAACAAAGATGACAGGCACCATCTTCGTTAATTTTCATGTGATGTTTGTATTTTCTGTAGGATGTTTGCCAAGTGATTATAATGTAAAGACAAAATGAATGTGCCTTGATTAGTCAGAGTCTTTTGCAATTTATTGTATAAATATTTAGTAATTAATTCAAGTACTTCCCTTTGTTCGTGCTCTTCTGTACTTCATTTGACTGCAATACAGTGCAATAGCTTTTATCAGTTTGTTAATGCATTTAGTAAACGTTTCACAAAGAAGATACGTATTAATAAACAACATTTAGTATGCAATCGTGTACAGTAAATAATAAGACGGTATACATATGTAGCGGTATTTTGTTCTTTGGATCAGTGTCGTAGGCGGGCCGACAGGTCGATCGATACACATCCTCTTTAACATCTGTTTCAACGTACCGTTAAACCTTTCCACTAGTCCGTTACACATAGGGTGGTACGGTGTTGTCGTCAGCTGTTTCACTGAAATAAGCCTACTTACCTCCATCATAAGTCCATATGTAAATTGTGTACCCATGTCTGTAAGAACCTCCTCTGGTACCCCAATGCGAGAAAACATTTCTAACAAAGCCTCTGCAACCCTTTCAGTATCTATACCTGGGAGCGCTATAGCCTCTGGATATCTCGTTGCGTAATCTACTAAGGTTAATATAAATCGGTTACCTTTATCTGTTGCCGGATGTAATGGACCGATTATATCTACTGCCACTCTCTTAAATGGTACATCTATCAGAGGCATTCTGTCCAGCGGGACTTTGCTCACCTTTCCTTTTGAAACAGTTCTCTGGCACGTATCACATGATTGACAGAACCGCTTAATTTCAGATTGCATACCAGGCCAAAAGAATTCTGACAAAATTCTGGATATAGTCCTACCTGTTGCTAGATGACCTGACATAACTGAATCGTGTGCTAGCTTCATAACAATCGTTCGAAATTTAGAAGGTACTATGAGCTGTGAAAAAGTCTTACCTCCTTCTTTTTCCGATGCTTGATACTCCCTGTACAAAAGTCCTCTCTTCTCTAACCATCTTACCTTCCCATTGCGCGATATTCGACCTTCTTTCGCATTCCGAAGTGATGTTTCAAGGGATGGATCCTCTTGTTGTTCACGCTGTATATCCTCAGGTTTGATATCGTCCTTGACTATATCTGGAACTCTGAGAGCTGGGTAAGGTTTGGTCTTTTCTTTTGCTTGCTGTCGAGTCTCCACTGCTAAGACAGTCTTTGGTCTCCACTCTGGGTCGGGATCATGAGGTTTCCTTGCGTCATGTACCTCTCCAATGATTAAATCAAAAACAGGGTTTTCCATACACCAAACCTCAAATTCACCTTTCACATATGGAGAATCTATACATACCTTTGCAAGTGGCACAACTCTCTTGGTATTATCTGCTAAAATACAAGTTTCACTTTTACCTGTTAAACTTTCATCTTTCACCAAGCTTCTCCTTACCACAATATTTTGACAACCAGAATCTCGAAGAAGTGTGACTGGTTGACCATCCACATATCCAGCAGATAGTGGCATAGGTTTCCTAGTGCTGTGACATGCCGAAGTTAAAATGGTTGATTTGTCACATACCTGAGAGTAGAGAACCGAGTTCTCACTACAAACAAATGCAGAACAATTCTCTGGTGTTTTGTCAACGTCTCTGCGCTCATCTTTATGCACTAGCGCGCCTGAAATCTTACCTTTGGATTTGTGACACTGTGGAGCTATATGGCCCTGCTTACCACAAATGTAACATTTTCTCTCTGTCACTGGAACGAACGAAGACTTCTGGTTTTGGGGTCGTTGCTGTAGATCTTTAGGTTTAACTTGCGTCTTACTTACTTGTACTTCCGTAGGTTTCTTAATAACCTTTGAACATAGATTTGAAGCACTTGTGTTTCTCGCCTCTCGAAATTGGTCTGCTAGAATGCATAATTCATCTGCCGTCTTTGGGACGTTCTGTTTAAGAAACACCAACAAATCATAATTGCACACATGTAAGAACTGGTCACGAAGTATAAGATCAAAGAGATCATCAAAAGTCGTAGAGATCTTAGACATTTCTATCCAACGAGTGAGGTAAGAACCTAATCTGACAGTAAACTGAGAAAATGTTTCACTATTTTCGGGACGACAAGAACGAAACTTTCTTTTGAAACCTTCTTTCGTCATGTCATATCTCCGGAGTAACGCTGCTTTGAGCTCATCATAATTATCTGCTTTTGACTTTGACATTAAAGCATAAACTTCTAAAGCACGACCTTTAAGTAAAGCACTCAAATGAGTTGACCAAAGAGATTTTTCCCATTTCATAGCTGTTGCATACCTTTCAAATCTTCGCAGATAACTATCCATCTCATCTCTGTTCTCTTCAAATGATGGAATTTTAGGGGTACTTGGTTTGACTGAGTTACTACTCACCTCATTCACTGATATGTTGCCCTTCGTTGCCATTTCCATCTCATGTTCATCAGCCATCTGTTTCAGCTTAAGGTCATTGTACATACGCTCCAATTGTAGTTGATACTCACGTTCATCTTTCTCCTTTTGACGAACTGCCGCTCTTTCTTCACGCTGCAATGCTTGTTGATCGCTCACATATTTGCGTAAACTATCGTGTTTATAGCCTAGTCTTTCTCCAGCAGAAATCAAATCATCTAAAGACTCCATTTTTAACAAAAATTTCAAATGTACACAACAAAATGTTTTTACTAACTCACTACTCTGTACACATGTTTGACATACTACTACTAAACACAATACTGAAATGTTGAGTTTGGGTGACACAATTGTTAATGAATTTAACTGATTTACTACATTACCATGACCAGTCTCCACAACACACTCTGAAGTAGCTTGGCAATCAGCTTTTAAGGAAAACTTCTGGATCCCAAATAGCCAATGATCTTGTCCTACAATTACAGCAATTACAATGAAACAATTGATACTATGCAACATGGAAAAGCACGAATGTTCATCAGTTAAGAAAAAAATGATAAATAAAATGCAGTTTACTTTTAACAGAATAAATACTTCTGAAATTACAATCTGTTTGATATAAATAGAGTTTCAGTTATTATGTATGTCAGTTTTACTTATAATTTAACAGTTCAAGAATTCCTGGTAAAGTCAGTTATTATTTTCCCTGTCTGTATCCTGTTGCCCAATCCTATAGACGGGTCTGTATCCAGTGGATTGTCACGTGGGCGTCTCCTTGTTGGTATGTGCTGTAATAAGACAAGTTGTTGAATCTACATCATAGGATCATCACACTTTCAATGGAATCCTGGGATCTGTATCTTTTAATGGCGGTAGCCTATCAATATCCCTGGATCGAAATTCCTGGATCTCCCTAGGTTGATCTCACTGGGTTGGTCCCCCTGGGTTGATCGCCTGCGACATTTGGTGTCAGAAGTGGGATCTGCCCAGGAAGATCCACCCAAGGCGATCAACCCAGGGGGACCAACCCAGTGAGATCAACCTAGGGAGATCCAGGAATTTCGATCCAGGGATATTGATAGGCTACCGCCATTAAAAGATACAGATCCCAGGATTCCATTGAAAGTGTGATGATCCTATGATGTAGATTCAACAACTTGTCTTATTACAGCACATACCAACAAGGAGACGCCCACGTGACAATCCACTGGATACAGACCCGTCTATAGGATTGGGCAACAGGATACAGACAGGGAAAATAATAACTGACTTTACCAGGAATTCTTGAACTGTTAAATTATAAGTAAAACTGACATACATAATAACTGAAACTCTATTTATATCAAACAGATTGTAATTTCAGAAGTATTTATTCTGTTAAAAGTAAACTGCATTTTATTTATCATTTTTTTCTTAACTGATGAACATTCGTGCTTTTCCATGTTGCATAGTATCAATTGTTCCATATATTTTAACACACACCTTTTCGCTATGTAAATAACTTATTTAAATGCCATAACTGTGTTCCATAGTATTTTATCTGTTCAGTAGAATTTACTTGGCGGGTTTTAAATCCCGTGCTGTTAAGTGGTCAGTTTGGGTGTAGCAATTGAGTAGAGCAGACGTTCTTCACTTGCTCGAGTATTAGTAACACAGTAGTATTCTACAAAGTATTTGACCAGACTTTACATCTCTTCTGAGGTAAGTTTATTTTATTAATTTAAAAGGCTTTATCTTATACAGTTTCCTGAAATGGCCAAGGACCTTAGTTAGTAACTTTGTTGTAAATTACGTGATTGAGTAATGTGTGAATTGCTATCATTTCAAGTACTAGTAGTATGCTAAAAATATACGAGTATATTATAGTCTTATTATAGTATGTAGTAGCTACAATGTATGGTGTAAAGTACGTGTTTATTGTACACAAATATTTCGTATAAATATTTTGTGGAGTTTTGCAGTAAAATGCAGTATGCAGTAAAATGCTTTAGTGTATGCAGGAAAATGCAGTATGCAGTAAAATGCAAAGTATATAGTAAATGTTTTTGATATGCATGAGCACGAATCAAGGTAGTATTTACAATTGTTATAATATGTGAATTTACAATGATTTTGTAGATCCCAAATTGGTCCGGGGAACCATTCTACCCAAACAACAAACCGATACCAGAACTTTTAAATATGTATTAATCCTTGAATAAATGTGATAAATTGAAAGAACTCTTCTAGTATTCTATTTGTGTGGCGACCTGTCGGCCCGCCTGCGACAATCAGGTTTTTGATATTTTTACATATTATGTTTAGCTTAATGATAAATTTAAGAGGCACAAGTGGAAGATATTCTTGTACATACATCATTCAAGGTGCTGTACCATAACAAAACCCATAATGAATAATGTCATGCAGGTAAGCAATGTATCACTTTGATTCAACCCGAATGTGACAAGTTCAAGTAACTATGAAGAATAACCTTGATAACATAATCAATAGTATATGGAGAAAACAAACAGTAATCATGCTCAAAAGTCAATTAAAACGATATACATTTGTAACACAGCAAGCGATTTTGTGTAATGGAGGTGTAAGATTACCTGTAGAACCCAACATTCTTTCCTTGTAACGATCTGGAAAATCAAAATATCTTTAGATAATTCAGTGTGAAAAAATGACTAACAATTCGTGTGAAAATATCAAGTCATTTTTTGACATAAGGATAGATTATATTTGCATTTATGGTTATTGTATCAACCAAAGAATTTGTATAATGTTGATTTGAAAAGAGAATTTATATCTTTTTTCATTAACAAATTTGTCGATATATTGTTTAATTTGCGAGATTTTGAGTCCGTAATTATAAGAGCAGGACCCAAAACCATAAACTGAGAACAGACTTCAGTCAAAATTTCAAATTGATATAACTTTAATTTGGAAATAATTTCGATAACAAAATAATACTTTCAACAAATGTTTCAATTGAAGTATTTTACACAGTTGCAAACTTATAAGCTAATACATCGAATGGAACCGAAGATATTAAAAATTAAAATTTTGACTTAAGTCTTTTCTCAGTTTATGGTTTTTGGGCCTGATCTGAATGATGTTTTATTCATAAGATGTAATTCTGTAATCTGAGGTCTCTTCAAAGTAATATTTTTCTTTGTACAGAAAAAAAACGAACAAACGAACATTGTAGAAAATATCACCATTTTTGTGAATTCAAGCGATTTTTGTACTTGCCTTATGTCATACAATTTATTTGAAGCCTTAACATTTATTATTTAGTATCTCTTTCCACAACTAAACTTTATATTTGAAATATTATTTTAAATAAAAAAACATGTACCTGTTCAGCTCATTGTTAGCAATTGTTTGGATACCTATCATACATCAGCCGCTGACAAAATGTATAAAAATAACTACGGAAGCGTAAAAGGCTTTACACTTGTTGTGCTTTAATTTTGAATATTGTCTTTTATTTTTATCATCTTATCAACATATAAAGTGTTATACCTCCTTATTCATACACATATTTTGAATTATTTTAAGATATTTTTACAAAGTAAAAGGCAACATCTTTTGTTCAATCGAATTTATTGCTTAAAGTTTTATCGACTTAAATGTTATATTAATTTTCACATACATTGTATCCATCAAAACAAGATTTTCAATCATATCAATATAGTATTGTCGATATGAAAAAATAATAATCTATTCATATCGATCTACATAAAGAGACTTCGCGGGGGCGGGAATTCTAACGAATCATAACTTCATTTGGGATTCAGTGAAAGCTTATGTACCATGCATTTGCTATTGTGCAGGATTATAGGCTGAAACAAATTCAAAAATGTTTGAGGAAGGGAAATGGAGAGACAACAACAGTTAGATTATAATCATTGTCATAGGGCGTTATTGTACCGGACACCACTTTTGAAGAGGGTATCATATATATATTCTATAATTTTTCACATAGGAATATATTGTGAAAATTTTTAAAGATCTGCTACTCAAGGATAAGGAAGAAATGATTAGTCATACTAGTATTTGAATAGAGGCATCTTCAGAATGTGTAGATTCAAGTTCGTTCAATTCATGACCTCCTAGGGTAGGGAAGGGTCACAATGGACTATGAAATTTTTTAGATAGGAATATATAGAAAAAATACCTTTTAAAGATTATCTTTCCATGAACATTAAAGCCAGGCATAATTATGTGTGTTCAAATCATGATCCCCTGGGGTAGGGCGGGCCGAAATGAACAAACAAAATTTTACATAGATATTTATAAAGGCTAAGAGCATGGGACCACTTATGGATTTAAATCTTTCAACACTAGACTACTTTTGGGGGCTTTTTCTCCTATCCTCAGTGCTAAGGTGAGTGATGTGGCCCATGGGCGATTTGTTTCCTACTACGAACTGAATAAGTTTGCTGAGAGATTGCTTTACGTTTGTGCAAGATCAAAATAACTGTGAGTTCAAGAGAATCACTGTAAATCCGCGAAGGAGAGCACCGAGAATTAAGTCTGTGGTCAAGGCATTTTACGGCCTTTGAAAGACCTCTTGGAGATCAAAGGAGAGACCCAAGATATCGTTTAGCTTTTCACTGCATTCTGATGACGTAGAACAAACAAGCATGACGTTATTTTTCTTGCGCATCAAAACGTCCCTTGACATTAGACTTTGATTCATGAATGAATATAGTATAAATGATATCTTAACGCTTTTTAAAAACTATATTTTGCCAGTTGTATAGGGGTGTATAATAAATTTATCATTATAGCAGTATCTTGATCCAAAGAACCTCATCATGTCTAATTGACAGGCGCGGTATATCAGATCAAACTCGATGCTTCACGTTTCAATTGATCGCATGATCCGCGCCTGTCCACTCGACGAGATCGACCCTTCGAATAAGGTAACCGTTATAATGATTTATATGGCTAAGTTCAGTTTTAGCGCATTAAAGAGAAAAATACGGTTTGGGCGTTCTTTAAAATGGGTATAATATGAGTTGAGTAGATAGTTATGATAAATCACTAAAGAATATGGCAAGAAGGATACCATTCTGTAAATATGGCATCATAGACATTAATTTGGTACATTTCTATGTATTATGCAGACCCATTTTGTGCTTATTTTCCTTTTTAAAAAATGAAATATCCCTTGCCCTCTTTAAATATTGAAATACTTTGTGTGAAATGATTTGGAAAATCACATATTTTAAATTTTTGTGTGCAATACGTATACTGTAAGATCTCTCAAAGAAATTTCCAATGACAACTGATGTTTTATGCAACTTACATGTACGTTAATAACGTCATAATTAGTAATTCTGAGGTCAGAGTTTTAGAAATGATATTGCAGTTTCAGTTTTTACAAGTCTGGTGTTCAAAAATTTCAGAAAATTTATGGCAACACTAGGAAATGATGTAAAAAAAAAAAACCAAGGCCAAGCATGGTCATAAAATTGGACCACGTGATTTTCAACAAAGGTGGAGGTTACAGTGGTACCTCTGGTGACTTCACAACACTGGTAACTGGGACATACTACTTCATTGTCACCCTCAGCATACCCACTCAAAGCAATGCTAGAGACTACCTACGAGTGCACATCATGAAGAGTGGAGTAGAGGCGTCTTACCTGTATGTGGGGGCACACAGCGTATGGGTGAAGCCCTCAGAGAATACTCTGCTGGAGCTACAAAGAGGGGACAGGGTTTACGTCAGTGTGGGGAAGACATCCTCCTCAGAGTTCTCTCTTATTCCCGGAAGAGATTTTCATTGTCATTTTACAGGCTTTTATTAGACTGAAACCCCGGAGAAACATATTTGAAAAATGAAAATTACATACATTCAGAAAAATTTGTGTACAACCTATTAACTTTTCTACCCAATATTAAATGTCCTTTAAAGAAGATGTAGACTATTACTTTAATAACATAAACAAGTATAACTTTCGTTGATGTTTTGACGCTTATAATTATCAGATTTTTTTTCTAGCAAAAATGAGGATGTAAGATCTAGAGATATGTCCAGACTTCCACCAACTCTAAAAAGGTGGCTTTGATTTTTAAAAATCAGAGGCTCTGTTGTAAAACATGAACAAGCCTACTAGTATTTAAATCTTTTATCCTCCTTTGCTATTTCCGTTAGGGTCGTTTGAAAAGAGAATAATGACATTATATATTGTTGCTGACTTTGAGGATATTTCAATATTTTAACATTTATTCCATATTTATTCCTAGCAAAAATTTCTTTTTAATGACCCCATGTCTTGGGGCATTGATAGAGAAAATGAACCTAAGATACATTAGGATTCTTGCATATTTATTGAAACACTATTCTAGTAGTCTAGAGTATTACATCATTATTTCTCATCATTCACACTGTTCTTTATCAGAATGATAAATTACTTGACTTTCTGACTGGGGTATACATATCAATCAATAGAAAGACAGCTGGAAATGCAATTTTTTCAGACATGTTTTCCTTATTTCTTATTAACATTCGGTGTGTTGTTTATTGAATTATGGGAAATTTAAGAAGAAACAAGTAGTGTGATATGGTCGTCTGCGCAATTGAATAGAGTGCTTAACTCAAGCTTGGTTAGTGATTAATTCAAGTATTTCCCTTTGACGGTGCTCTTCTGTTTCTCAAATAATTGTCAAACAGTACTACTTGTAGCTTTCATCAATTTGTTAACACATAATACGAGGGTTGTCCCATAAAAACGTGGACAAAGCATTTTTCTCGAAAAGTAATGGGCGTACTAAACTGAAATTTTCAGTAATTGTTTATTCATCATATTTAAGTGAATCATTATGTTTTTGATAATATATATTCAAAAATAAAGTTTTTATTCTGCTTGAATGTGCACAAGGTACGGTCTTACGGCGCACGGTAAAAATAGCAAGGTTATATTAGACAAGACATAAGAATGAATTCGTAATGAAAGTTTTCAATGCATAAGATTAGGATGAAAATTATCCTGATCTATTCCTTAATCAATTCTGTCGTCTTTTTAAAAATTTCAAGGCATTTGGTTGATTTTTAGCAGTTTCCCAAGCATTTCAAATGGGAAAGTAATAAACACAATACACGAAAAATGGCGACTTTTTATGACGTTACCTCGCACAGCAGAGCAGTTCAGATAGATTAGGATGTTGTAATGACGCCTTAAGAGACTTTAAATGAATACAGAAGAAAGAAAATATGAAACATATCACCAGATCTTTAGTATAAAATTAAATGAAAGTTTTCTTAGTGAAGTCTTCGTGGTCGAGTCCCCAGATAGTACAAAACATATGAACAGACTGCCATTTGTAATAGCAAAGGAAGCTGTCACTGTCGACCGTCGATGTGAGATTCTCTTTTAGTTGAATGATGGTGCGAATACTGTCTGTAACTTGCTAATAAATATTCAGAAGATCGCATGAGTGTGCCACATTGGTTTCTTAACTGGTTATAGAAATTCACATATGTAAATCAATAAAATTTCTAAATTTTAGTGGGGCTTATCCAACTTTAAGTTTAGCAAAGATGAAACCTGACGCTGTTTTAGACACTTTGACGTTATCATCCGTGCGCCGTAGGTCAATACAGTACATAACATAAAATATCACAATTTGTTTACCTATGCATATATCTATTTGAAATTTGCTATGTATATTTATAATTTATCTATTAAAAAGTGGTGAAAATTTCAGAACGCAGTGATGATTATTTTTCAAACTAGACAACTTGTCCACGATTCTACGGGAAAACCCTCGTAAATATTTGCACAAAGAGGATACGTATAAATAGTTAGCATGCAACCTTGAACACTAACTAATTGAACAGTATATGGTTGTATTTTGCTCTTTGGATCAAGTTCTTATGTGGTATATGTATATGATCAATTTAAAGCTACACACAACAAACGAATTGTCATATCCAAATTACTTTCCCCGTTTTTAAAAAATATTTCTTACAATGAAAATGAGATTCAGAAATGTTATTTGATTCAAATGTGAAAATACACTCATGAAAATATTTTGTGAAACTCTCTATCTGAAATTAAAAAGAATCATACATTTCTTACAAAAAAAAATAAAACCATTGAACTGTAAACTTAAAGTTACATTTTCAAATTTTTAACTAAATTATGTAACTTGGCCATCATTTAACTAATTAAACAAATATGTTATCTAGTAAGAGAGTAACCTATTTAGGCAAAAATATTTGAATTTGGAAGATAGAAATTTCGTTGTGCTATTTATTCGTAGGCGTCACAAGTAGATGCACCACTAGTTCATATAGAAGTAATTCAAGACTTTGTATCACAAAAGACACAGAACAAACAATACACAAATAAGTAGTGTATCAGGTTCATTATACCCAAATATGACATAACCAAGTGAATAAGGAATTAGCTGTATTACTTAAACAATAAAATGCTTTCTTTGTTTGTTATTACTCGAATGAACGGAAGCAGCTTTTGCAGAAAAAATACATAACCCGCGTAAGCGATTTATGTAAATTTTTGCTACAATAGCTGCAACCGTTCATTCCAGTAAAAACAAACAAAGAAAGCATTTTATTGTTTATATTTATATCTGTTTAAATAATCATTTAAAGTTTTAATAATAAGGTTAATTATTGTATTAATGATGCAAATGTCTTTATCTGTTTCATTGATGGTACAGCCACTGATCAAGAAATCTGTACTGGCGACATGCCTAATGTAGTTCATGCAGTGATGAACGCAATTAGTTTTCTTAAGAAATAAAGGAGAAATTATTCAGTGGATGTAAATATATGAAAAATAAAATACAAAAATCGAAATATCCGAAGACAATACGATGTACGATGTAGAAAAATGTATAAACATTTGTAAGAAAACATCGTTATCCGAATACACGATAAGTTCACATTAAATTATATTTGCTCAAATACTAGTAGATACTTTTCAACCACAGTATTTATAAAATTCTTGTTTGAAAATAAGCCTGTTGATATCCTCTAATCATCAAAGCATTTGTAAATTTAATGTTTTGTTGAAGTAATTATTACGTGGAATAGGTGATCATGATGTAATAATACATGTACCGGTACCGTAATTATATTTTTATGCACCCGGATCAAAAGATCTAGGGCGAATATTGTTTTTGCCCTGTATGTCTGTCTATTTGTCTGTCTGTTTGTTTGTTTGTTTGTCTGTAAACTTTCACCTTCGCCATAACTTTTGAGCAATGAAAGATAGATACTACATATTAAGTATGCACACTCCAAAAATTAAGCTCTTCAAATGACACCAAGGTCAATGACCTTGTGCCCTTGACTGTGACCTATATGCGAAAAATAGCTTTTTTCTGCAAACTTTCACTTTTGCCGCAACTTTTGAACGATGAAAGATAGAGACTTCTTATTTTGTATACATACTGCACTAATTAACCTCTTTTTTATGATACCAAGCTAAGGTCAATGAGCTTGTGACCTTGACTGTGACTTTTATGCTAAAAATAGCTTATTTAATCTATATATCCTGACGTTTTGTATTTTCGACCTATTTAGATGTTATTTATTAATTTATTACAAACTTTATAGAGCCTGAAAAAATATGGGCTTAAAATGTTAGTATATATGTCTATAAATAAAATGACCCAAATGGCAGTTTTGTGTTTATTTTATTTATATGCCATAATATGGAGAGGGTACAGTTTTCCCTACAAAAAATATTAGCGTCTTGTGTTTTCGACCTAAATATAGTATCAGCAACTAAGCAGTATTGGCTATAAATTTCCATTGGATATTCCAAAGAATAAAACTATGATTGTCTGTCCTTCAAAAAAATCATTGAACAGGTTGCATAATGTGGTTGCAAATACATTTATTCGTTGGATGAATCCATCCGTCAGTAGCTGTGCATTTCCAAAAAAAAAAATCAATAAAATTACGTTGCATTTTTCAGTAAAAATCGGTAAGAAAGTGCTCATATTTAAGGTCGAAAAAAAATTGTTTGATCCACTCATTCATTTCAATATTCTTGCGTCTGTTTGACAGTGATCTTTCATCAAAAAATCTTTGTAATTAACCGATTACGGCTATCATTAATCAACAGATAAAATGTAAATTAGTAAAAAGACTAGAATTTTTGACATCGGACTAAACCATCGGGGAAAATCCGTTGAATTGATTATTTTGGGTATTTTCACTACAGTTGTGCTTCAAAGGTATTTTTCCAAGAGTTGCAACCTAAAAAAAAATGTTCTACCGCGCGGAATCGGAACGAGGAGCAGATTGGGAAAATAGGTCGAAAATACAATATGGTCGAAAACAGGATACGAATATATATACAATTATCTGATAAAACATAGTACGAAACATACATGTATATAGAGAGGTATTGTCACAAGGAGTACATATTTGAAACATGAAAGCTTTAGCGCTACTATTTCAAACGCTATGGTCAAGGTTAAAGATTTTTCAAAAACTTCAAGGCCAAAAGGTCAAAATATTTATACTCAATGAAAGGCTTCCTATAATTAGATGTGTTTGTTAAGGTATCCGATCCATAAAAGGACATACTTTTCTAACCTTGTATATCCATCCTGTATTAAATACGCTGAAACTTATTCAAAGCAGTCTAGAGTAGAAAAGGATTAACCAGGAGAAATTTTCAAAAATATAATGACCCGATCTGTAATTAATGAATTAAGATTGCATTGAGGTCTATGGGAACAAGCACATTTTTAAAAATAAAAAATAAATACATGCACTAAGAATATAAAAAAATGCTATGGCGAAATGCATTTAATTATTAAAAAT